TTCAAAATAAACTGAATCACGTGAAAGAGCAGATTATTCACGGATGAGAAGTAAAAAAGACGCCAGGTGCTAAAAAATAAACCTTAGACTCAAACATTAGAACAGGCTTTTCCCCGCAGCACGCCGTGTAATAAATACTCACAAAGAAAACGGCGGCCGTATTAAACACTTTTACTAACCTCAGGCAGACGGACAGGCGCTCTGCAGGTGGGATTGAGCACCTGTAGTTGGTATCTAGGCGGGCGATGCTTGGACCAACGCGGGACAGCAGGTCCTCAAACTGGGCGAGTGAAAGACGGTGATATCGCTGAAAGCCACGGTCGTCCAGGCGCAGCTCCTGGAGCAAATGGTGAAACTCACCAAACTGCTCACGCGTCTGGAGGACCTGATGGACCCAGGTACGGCGAGGACGTCGCTGCTCTGCTCTCCACAGTAAATAGAGGAGGGAGACTCTCTCTTCAAGCGCTAGCTCGACAGCTGCCATGTAGCAAAGAAACCGTCCGGCACAACTTCCTCCCACATCCCTCCCACATTTCCGGTTCACGCGCGTCAAAATTGCATATTTTGACACACGATGAATTTGCGTTGGACACGCGTCGAGGTGCGAATGTGCATGCGTCAAATTAGGGGCGTCTGGGGCGTTTTCGCTCGCATCTATCGCGTTCAGTGTAAACACACCGTTACAGACACAAGATGAATAAGATAACTCTGCACTGAGCTCCATCTGAAGGTTTAAGACAAATACGATAAAGCACAGAGGTAGCAACAACTAGTCAGATGTCATGAAAATCAAAAACATGTCGATGAAACGAGCTGTTACAGCTGAGACTCATACTGAGTCATGTCAGTGATTACTTCAGCTGTTTCCTGGAATACAGCTCCTTCCTGGGGGACTGAACGGGTGGAGGCTAGGATGGAGGAGCTCTCTGACATCTGGCGCTCTCTGAGCTCTCTGACGTCCTTTAGCCTGATGGTGGTCCCATCAGGCTAAAGGACGCCAGCTGACCTCAGTCAGGTGGGCTGTGTTAACAATGCTGGTTTCAGACAGTGTTCCCGGGCACATTGTGGTCCACAGGTGTCCAATAAAGGAGTGCAGCCTCGTCCCACACACACACTCTGGTGTGACGCACTGCAGACCGTGGGGAAGTCTTTGTGTTGTTTATGAAGTACTCCACAGTCTTTTAAACCTCTGCCACATCTAAACATCTTTACATCTTTACCCCTAACCCTACCCTAACTTATTACCAGCTGAACCGTCTTGCTTTTTCAGACATTTTTGCCTTGTGCCAACTTTATTGGGACCTGCAGCAAGCATCAAATTTAATATGTCTCAGTTTAAACATGTGTTATTTCTGTTCTGTAGTGAATTGTAGTGAATCTTGCCTCGTGTGACTGAAAGTCTTTAAATATTTCAAATTGAAAGACCTTTTGTGGTTGTAACAGTCTCGTTTCCTCTGGGTTAAAAAATGATTCTGACTATGAAAGCTCAGCCACCGGGATCAGTCAGCTGTGCTGCCGATCGTGGACTAATAGTGATATCACATGATTCCTGCAGTAGAAGGAATTGATCGATCGATAGATAGATATAGACGTCACACCTGAGTCAGTCAGCAGGGGGCAATGCTGTCCACCTCTTCAGCATCATCATCAGCTTTTACAGAAACACAAACATCAGAGACTGCAGACTGCTCTGAAAGCAGCAGAAGGCCTTTAATCATTCAAATGTAGTCACACCATCAGAGATAACATTATTTTGACTTTATTTTGAAAGACAGGAGCAGAAACCTTTATTCATGCACACAGAGATGAGTGAGAGCAGCTTTCAGGGCTCGGCGTTAGCTGTGACTTTACTGAAGGTTTCCTCTTGTGCTTTGTGCTTCTGCAAACAGCAGCCGAACAAACGCCACACAAATCATCATTTAAGGGTTTTAGTTTTATTTAAGCAGCTGCTTCGAGGAAGGCCTTCAGGCTTCTACAGAGAGTTAAACCTCAGTCACATATCAGCTCAGACACAACGTTCAGAATCAGAGAGGCTTCCACTTCTTATCCATAACCGAACCTCCAGAAACCCGACAGAGAGAAACCGAGCAGAGAGAAACCCAGTCAGAACCTGCCTGAGAATCTGTCTGATTTAAGTTGCTGTCTGTGATGCAGAGACAGTCACAGGGAGCTGCTCACAACTTATTTTATTTTGAAAATCTGACTGAGAACAGCAGAAAGCGCTATGTTGAAGCTGTAGTGTGTAAGAGTGAAGTACACGTGGGTTAAAATGAATAAAATCTTCATGTTTTCTCACAGACACTGGCCTGAAACATCAATCACTCCCTCAGTGCAGGTCTCGGTCAGTCTTCAGGTGTTTGTGATGCGTCTTTGCTGAGATGTGACTGATCAGCGATCGATCAGGCTGAATATTCATGTTTGATCAGCAGCTGGGATGCTGCAGGATTCATTTTTAAACATTTATGGGAGCTTCGTGATCGATCAAAGGTCGGGATGTTGGATCTTTAAAGCTGAAACTGATCGATTAATTATCAATAATGTAACAGAGTGAGGAGGACTGGCTGATTGATCAGTGAGCATCAGTACTGCGATTGATGAGAAGCTGCTGTGGTTAAAGAAGACTCAGGGGGGCACCGCAGAGCTGCTCAGGTCGCGCTTCAGTGGATGCACCACCACATGACCGCCAGCGATGCCAGTACACCAATCACAGAGCTTGTTGCCGAGGAGGGGGCGGAGTTACACAGGTCAGAGTTGCAGCACTTGAAGGTAAAACTGGAAACCTGGAAGTAATTGATGATGTCAGAAATCAGTGATCAGACAAAATACGCACAGCAGTAGCAGCACATTCATAATCAATACACTGATTCCTCTTTGTTATCGATCACACTTGGACTCTAGAAACCTCAAGAACTGCAGGAACCTTCAGGAACCTTTAAGGCGGTTCTGAAGGAGGGTTTTGAACGTGCCAGAGGAGAAGAGTTTACAGCAGCACTGCAGTTATGTGCAATGTTCCCTCTAAGCTGCACGCGTGCTGCTGGCACGTCTCTGCGCACAGAAAAAAATCTAACCTGAATTGAGATTAAAATTAAAACTTTAACGATTCTGTTCTGCAGTGTGAGTCAGTGACTGGCTGCTCCTGTATGGGATCAGAACGATGCCACCTTATCCCAAAGTCCAGCCAATGATGCGATTCACATTCATATATACGCAGCTGATCAACGTCGTTGACAGGCTCTGACAGCGTCCTCATGTGTCGACACCGGTGTTTTAGCAAAGCGGCTGATGTGGAGTGAAGCCACGTTAATGACAACGTGTACAACCATTGGAGATGTGAGCAGGACAGACGAACAACTGACGGACAAAGTGTGGACTTTATACCAGTTTTTAAATTGTGTTGATCGGCCGTAAAACCAGAGTTATGATAAAATATCTGCAATGTTTGTTTTTCTTCCTGAATACTGTCGTTGTTTATATTTACTGCAGGAAGAAACGGTAAAAACAGCGTTTTATAAGGAAAATGCTCGAAAGCCTGCGAGCAAAAACAACCCCCACACACACACACACTCCAGTTTGTTTTCAAAACTGGAGTTCAAGTTATTTTTACTTCCAGTAGTGTTAACATGCTGCACAGCATGTTAACAATGTTAACACTAGCAGAAAAAGTCCTTGCAGCTAAAATGTCCCAGAAATAAATAAATGTTAAAACTCTGACACGTCCTTAAAGGATCCCTGGGATCGGTCAGTGGGTGCGCTAATGGAAACATTTTTTTGGGAAAGGTTCACTTCAGGCTTTTAATGAGCCACATGAGGTCATAACATTTGTTCTGTAAATAGTTTGAAATGTTTATTAAAAAACGCCTCGGCTGCATTTTTACGTAAACAGCTGCAAAAAACTTTGTTTGCATAACTCAGTAACTTTTTTGAAGAAGTAACTATATAATTAATTGCCCAACATTGGTCATTATTTACTGTATTTGCAGACAGAGTTTCAGACTCTCTCCCAGACCACAGACTCATAATACAAGTCAGAGCTTTATAAAAAAAATAAAATAAATAAAGTTGTGTTTTCAAAACTGGAGTTCAGGTTATTTTTACTTCCAGTAGTGTTAACATACTGCACAGGTCACGAACAAGATTGTTTTTTTAATTTCCACTGTAAGTGGGCTAAAGCCGTCAAGAAGTCTAACATAAATGTAAATGCTGTAATTTGATTACTTTAATAAACATGTAACTTGGATGATTCGATGCTGGCGTGACCACAGTGCACACGTCTGCTGTTGCTCACAGTGGTCCAAGGGACGCTCAGGGAGTTTGTGTGTTCAGACACATGAAACATTAGAGGGAACATTAGAGGGAACATTAGAGGGAACATTGGTCATGTGATGTTATTTCTTCAGAGAAATCTCGAAGAACTGAGTTCAGATTTGTTTTTACATTTTGGATTTTGTATTGTTTGTTCAGCCACAGCTCTCTGATTTTTACAGGTTTGTGGGGAGGACTCATGAAGCATAGACTGATTATTGAAAATGTCTGTGCGGGTTCTCTGTGGCGGTCTTAATCAATGGAAGTGGAAAAAAATGAAGATGCCTCTTTGATAAGAGGTGAAATAGCTTCATGAAGCATCTGTTGAGCTGTGACTTTTTGATTATTCGAGGTTTTTTGCAGTGAAGTAAATCATCTGCCTTTGAAGCAAAGCTTTCTTTAAACTATCAGCAGCCTCACTTTAGTGTAAAATACAGATGGTGTGTCTCAGTGAGGTCCATGGATGCACAGAGTTAAACCCTCTCATGTGTTGGTCCAGACACAGGATGTCAACCTCATTTTACACTGTGGGCCGGAAGTCGACCTTAGGTGGTAAATGGCCTTTATTTATATAGCGCTTTACTAGTCCCTAAGGACCCCAAAGCGCTTTACACAACCAGTCATCCACACACTGGTGATGGCAGCTACATTGTAGCCACAGCCACCCTGGGGCGCACTGACAGAGGCGAGGCTGCCGGACACTGGCGCCACCGGGCCCTCTGACCACCACCAGTAGGCAACGGGTGAAGTGTCTTGCCCAAGGTGGGCCAGATCCTCTTTATTTACACATTAATGCCTGACATATATAAATAGTTAAATTTCAACAGCATGTTTGCATGATGAAGAAAAAAATGCTGCTCGAATTACATTTACAAAACATTTTTATAGTTAATAAGGAAAACATGGAATTTTTCTATTATTTCATGACTTTCATGAACCGTCATGAGGGAGGTTTCTATGAGTAACAATAAACCTAAAAAACTTATGAAAATACAGTTCAAAATAAAAAAAATCATGCCCTTCTGCACATTTTGCAAAGGCCTCCTGTGGGCGTCTTTGCTGTGCCTGATTTTGGCCCCCAGGCCTTATGTTCGATACCCCTGGTCTAGACTCTGAACTGAGCACTTCCTTAGCAGAAAAAGTCCTTGCAGCTAAAATGTCCCAGAAATAAAGAAATGTTAAAACTCTGACATGTCCTTAAAGGATCCCTGGGATCGGTCAGTGGGTGCTAATGGAAACATTTTTTTGGGAAAGGTTCACTTCAGGCTTTTAATGAGCCACATGAGGTCATAACAATTGTTCTGGCGGGTTGCGAAAAATCAGCCATTTTATTGTGAAAGATGTCACTGTGCCACTGTAACACGTCTGACCACCACGCCATCCTGCTGGCCTCTTGATGGCGAGTCATTGATGGCTAGTCGTTGATGGCTAACACTCTGTACAAACTGGAACAACTATCACCGGACTCTCCCAAATTCATCCTGGGTAATTTCAACCACTGTTCCCCTGACAAGTCGCTTAAAGGATACCAACAGTGTGTGACATGCAGCACACGTCAGGGGAAGACTCTGGATAAATGCTACGGCTCTGTACCAGATGCATTTAAAGCCCCTCCCCTCTCTCGGCTCAGTAGACCACCACACCGTCCTGCTGGCCCGGCTTACAGCCCGTCATCAAGAGGATTAGAAAGGTCACCAAAAACATCGAGCAGTGGACAGAGGAAAGTATCCTCACCCTACAAGGATGTTTCGAAGCCACTGACTGGGACAGCCTTCTTTCTCCATCTGAAGACATTGACAAACAAGTCACCACGGTGACATCATACATCTCCTTCTGTGTTGACAACATTATCCCCTCAAAAACAGTCTCCGTCTACCCCAACAACAAACCCTGGATCACCAAGAAGCTCAAGGAAATCCTTAATAAAAAAAAAGAGGACTTTCTTCACGGCTCTGCTCTGGATAAAAAGGAGGTCAACAGGGAGGTCAGGAGGGCCATAAGAACTGCTTAACTGGAGTATAAAAACACTGCTGAAAAAAAATCACCACAGCGGACCTCCGCTCACCCTGGCAGGGCCTCGAAACCATGGCCTCTGTGAACGCTGTGGTCACCACCCCCAGAACCATCCAGGTGGAGGGCAGCAACCCCTCCTCCCTCCCTGATGACCTCAACGCTTTCTACACCAGGTTTGAGACGGACAACATGGCCCAGCTTGAAGAGTCCAGATCCTCACTGAAACCTGGCAGCTCTGCACTCACCTTCATGACTGTGGACATGGTGCGAGCCCTCAGGAGGAGCAGGGAGAGGAGCTCACCCGGCCCTGACAACATCAGCTGTCGAGCTCTGAGGCACTGTGCAGGGCACAGGAAGTGTGTTCGGACTCTATTTTAACACTCAGTCGACAGTCACACTGTCCCCCAGCTGTGGAAACACTCCACAGTCTTCCTCATCCCCAAAAGAAATAACACAAAGTCTGAATGACCTTCGTCCTGTGGCCCTCACCTCCCTGGTGATGAAGGCCATGGAGAAGATCATAAAACAGCAACTGACCCCCTGATGGACCCTCCAGTTTGCTTACTGTGCACGCAGAGGTGTCGATGATGCAAAAATCTTCATCTTGGACTCCATCCACAAACATCTGGAGCTCCCTGACTCCTCCTCCAGACTTCTGTTTGCTGATTTCTCATCAGCATTCAACACTCAGCCTCACATCCTGCCCACTAAACCTTCATCCCGATTTCACCTGATGATCAGCTGATCCTGTGGATATTGGACTTTTTGACCAACAGGACTCAGAAAGTTCGGGTCAACAACTCTCTCTCCGGTCTCCGTTCCACCTCCACTGGCTCCCCCCAGGGCTGTGTGCTCTCCCCCCTGCTCTTCATCCTCTACACTGATGACTGCAGATCCACACAGCCCAGCTGTCACCTGGTGAAATATGCTGACACAGTTCTCCTGTCACTGCTGTCAGGCCCTCACAGCACCACGGGCCACTCTGCAGGAGCTTGTTGAGTGGTGTGACAGCTCCAAACCTGAACTGAACGTGAGCAAAACCAAAGAGATGGTGGTGACCTTCTCCAGTAGGCAGAGGGATCTGGCTGCTTCAGTCACCACCACCATCCACGGGAAGCCAGTGGAGG